GGGTGGGGCGGGATGGGGGTGGGGGCGCTTGAGGGGGGCGGAAACATGGCTTTCAACAAGACTGCCCCTGAGGTCCCTTGAATCGAATACTAATTGAGTATTGTAGTAATCTACGACTAAGGACAGGGTGACAACCGGACGACCCCTGAGTGAAGCAATGCAAGGGGGGGAAGCTAGAGCCGCGATGATGAGCGGCGCTCTCTAGGGCGACGGTCAGCAGGGTGCCCCCTCACCTCGGACACGGGGTGGTGCGGGGCGACGGGGATGGGGGACAGGTTCAGGTTGCGCAGCACCTCGCTGGGGGGGGCGGGCGCAGGGGGCGAGGTCAGGGGAGGTGGGTGTGTGTATGTATGTGTGTGTGTGTGTTACGGGGGGTTGGGCTGGTGGGTGGTTGCTAGCATTGGGATCAGTATGGATCATAGATACGAGGACAGGCGGCGTTGAACGGCAGGGTCTCAACCGGCAGCCGAGCTCGGCATCAACACCGGCTTTGGGGCTAAGCCCACCTAATCGCCACCCGTGTCGCCTCCACAAGAAATACAGCAGACCCCCTCATGCCGGCACTGCATCCGTGAAAACATTATCCATCAACCAATCCCCCTCACTTGATCCAGAAGATGTTGACCGACTCGTCAAACGCCTCAAGCAGCACCGGCTGCGGCGTCGCGTACGCGGGCGGGCCCGGCGGCAGCGTGGAAAACATGACGATCCCGAGGTATGCTGCGTAGAGGCCCCACAGGGCGGCCGCGTTGAGGGCCGGCTTGAGGTTTGCGGGGTTGGCCGCGGGGCCCAGGGACCGGATGAGGGGCTGCGAGAGCGGGGAAGGCGCAAGGGGGGAGGGGCGGGGGGGGGGACTGGGAGGAGGGGGATCACCACAAAGGGTGGGCGGGCGTCGGGTCGCAGTCAATGTCACAAGTTTTGCAGGTGTCGGGGTCGGGGTGGCGGGAGGAATCCAAACTGTGCTTTGACTTGCAGGTGGGAACGAAGCATAGAGGGCGCAGGCAGAGCGCGGATCGTGGTGGTGAGGCGGCCGGAAGCCCGGGGCGCGGGATCCCTCCCGAATCTGCACGCCCCCTGCGCCCCACCGCGCCGCCCCCCGCCCGGCCGCACCGTCAGCGAGCCCAGCAGCTGCAGCGTGCTGTCCCCCGGCTTGATGGAGGGCTCCACCACGTCCCGCACCTGGCAAGGGGGCAATACGGTTCAGAAAGCGGGTATGACTGAGGCAAGAGGGGTTGGCGGTGAGTGATAGCTACAAGAGAGGTGTTCAAAGGGCAAGGCGGTCAGGGCAGCCTTGGGACAGCGGCCGGCCTCAAAACATATTTTAGGGGGCCATGCCGCAGCTCGGCGCCTGCGGGATTGCGCTCTTGACTTCCGAGCCGGGCCGTGGCGGCGGCGCACAGAAGTCCAACATGCAGACACCCGCAGATGCGCGCCAGCTGCCCAGGAACGGGCGCCCGAGCTCTCCACTGTCACTGGTGCTCACGGAGACGATCTGGCCCCTCTCGTTCACGCGTATGAAGGAGCAGCCCCGGGAGAAGGGGAAGAAGACGCCGTCGCCGCACTCCACGTGCCACTGCACCCCGGCCCTGAAGGGGTCCCCCTCCGTGATGTCCTCGATAACAAATTTGAGGTCGTCAGGGGCGTATTTGCGAACCTGTGCAACGTGCATGAATCACGGTCGGCAGGGCAGCGGTTTCGCGTTGCGCCGCCCTCCGGCCCCTTTCAGTCCCATCCCTCTTCATCCGCACCCCCGCTTTTCAGCGCCCCATTCCCACGCTCGCCGCGGCGGACATGGGCAGCACAGCGGCCCAAACCGCCGCATTGGACCGCTGCCTGCCAGGCGCTGGCCGGGGCCGCGCTTGCTCCGCTGCGGGCCGCTGAGAACGCCTGGGCCCGCGCCGCCGGCCACCGCTCTGCTCCGTTTCCATCGCTGCTTGAGGCCCAAAAGGGCACCCTGCACCCAGGTGCTGGGCCGTCACAAACATGCACCACAACCATGGTCCCTGGAAGCGGACGGCCGCCGCGTTTTTTTCACCTTCTCCAGCCAGGCCATCACGCCCTCCCGCCCCTCATGCGGCTCCTCATACACCAGATCACTGCAGCAGGGGGTTTTCCAAGGGTGGCAGCAGGTCTGTTTCAGCTGCTAACACAAGGGCGGCTGGAAAGAGGCCCTGTGCTGGTCAAGTCAGTTGGGGACTTGGGAAACTCAGAGAGGCACGGTGTGCCAAGCGCAGGGGCGCCGAGGGCGGCATGCTGGCGCCGACTTACTGGTAGCTGATGTCATCGGCAATGAGCGATTGAATGACATCCAGGTCCCGGGTGTTGTAGGCCTCGTAGAAGCGCCGCACCACTGCAGATGCCTGGGGCACCGCGGCGCTTTCGGCGCTCGACTGGGCCGCTTGCTGCTGCTGGGCCGCGGCGGGCGGAGACTGGGCGCGACCGACGAGAGTTCAGGGGTTAGTGGGGGTTATGTGCGCGGGCGTGGGGGATAGTGCATATGTGACCTGGCCGTCCGTGGGCGTGTGTATGAGCATGCAGCGCTGCCACAACAGCACAGAGCCCGCCGCCACAAAACGGTCTTTGCATCTGATGCAGCAAGGCGCGAACATCCACATTAGTGACATAGATATAATCGACACGCAAGCCTGACGGCATAACTGATGGCCCATTCGCAATCAGCGCTCAGACTCTTCAGCTGTGTTGCGCACCAGAGGCCTTGGCACCCTGCCGCTCATCCATGCGCCGTGTCTGATTAACGAATTATTTGATCTCAGTGCATTGATTTGTGAGCGCGCTAGGGACTGCATTGTGCCGATCTGGTCTACGACACAGTACCTGGTTCCCACACTGTTCTGATAGCAGCAGCCTGGCTGTGATAAGCCGGAGCAATCACGTATGACAGCACGTCGGTGAGTGGGGTTGGTGGGCTTTGGCTAGGCAGCAGCACGGTGCCCGTTGTCACCAGGGTCACTGCAGGCGGCCGACGCTAGGCCAGGCATAGTACTGACCCGCGCCCCACCAGACGCGGCATGTGTGTATGGGAGCATCAGAAGTTCCATGGGTAACATACCAGCTGGTTATCCTGAGAATCACGGTAGCTTGACACATTTCACCACATCGCCGCGGCGCCTGCACGCGTGAGGTCAACGCGGACCAATTCTGCCACCTCTTGGTGTCCGTACGTTCACGCGCGCACATGTGTCGTCGACTAGAATCAGCGGCGTGGGATTCAGTTGGCAGGTGCGCCAGTTACTGCAAGCAGGGGTGATGACATGCAACCCGGGATACGTGTTGCACGATACGTGTTGCAGCCCACCGAATGGGGAGCCACAGCCAATAGGCTGGCATGCTTCGACATTCACGCCACGAACCAGGCGCTCTGGCTGACGCAACAAACCAAAAGATCCAAGCACAGCCTAACAGTACTTTGAGGTTTAGAGTATACACCAGCAAAAGAACTGAACCTGACCTTGCTCAAATCACAATCCTGCACAGGATCAAGACGCAGTGCTGCATGGGTAGACGATCGTGGTGCTTTAGACCGCGGATCTGAAGATCAAGGCGCGAGACAGCCCCCAGGTCAGAGGCCAACGACGAACAAGAGACATCGGCATGTACAACGAAATAGCAAAAGGGTGACAACGACCAGCAAACAGGGCTGAAGCATCACGCAGCCACGCAAGGGCAGCTCTGCTTCTACCAATCACTTGACCTGGTGTGAGACCCCCCTCGAGGCTTGTTTTGGACAATGTCTTAAGATTTCAGCATGGACCCAAAAAAGGCAAGGCTGTTTGTGGTCTTCATTTGTTGAGGCAGCAGGGGCCAAACAGGTCTGCATTGGCACAGTCCACGTAAGCAGCTGCACAGTTGATGATGCGCCGCTCCGCTGCGGGTACTGGCACATTAATCTGCAATTGTTCGATCCGGACGATGGATTGGGTGTCATGTATGGAATGTCCTGTTTCTGCCACCGCTTGTGGTGGCGGCGGGGCAGCGAAGAGCGGGTGATTCCTCACACCCATCACCAGCAGCGCCACAGTGAAGAGTGCAAAGGACGGGCTGCAGCTGCATGCGCAGACTTCAAAGGCGCCCAGGCTAGAATTGATCGGCCTGGACACGCCAAGTTGCTTTAGATGGCTCACGGGCCCGCCCGCCCATGGCAGCCCGACTCCCTCAGCCGGGTTTGCGCAGCGGCCCTGGCAAGCCAACATCCCGTCCCCACACGGCCCCAAGCACCGATAAGGGCGATGGGCTCGCGCCGTCTCGTTATTGCAGCTATCCGCTCACCGGCTTTGGCATGGCAGCTGCCAGGTCGCTTGTCATCAGAGCATCCATTGTGTCACCCGACGGGAAGAGGAACGGGCGTTCAGTGAACATCGTGTAATCGTCGCCGCCGGACAAAACGTAGGAGTTTGAGGCCAGGTTGTAAATGACCTTATCTTGGATGGTTGAAGTTGAGCCGTTGCAATGTAGCAGTCTAGCGGCAATCAGCTCAGTGCCTCTGTGCCAGAAACGGATCCCATGCACCTGATGTTTTTGGTTGGAGGTGCAGACATAAGGTGGGGTTGGAGTGGCGGTTGATGGGGTTGGGGTGGCATTTGGTGGGGTGCGGGCATCCTGGCATGGGCAGGGCAAGTGCCCTGCTCAGATAGGATATGGTCAGAGGTGGTGTGCAAATCAAACAGACAGCAGGATTGTCAACACCCCCTCTCCTGAGCCTGGGCAAGCCTTCACCGCTTGAGGCCCTCCCCAGACACTCTCTGCATTATGCACCCAGCATCCCATCAAGCTGTGCAGCTGCAGAGGCAAAATCACTTCACGCACTGCCTCTGGAAGCAGAGGCGGCCACGTGTACCCTGCTATGCACCACCTGCGGGAAGCGCCCTGCGTTGTCCTGGAGGCGTGAGATCCCGTTTTTCAGCGCCGCCCTGAGCTGCACCCCTGACACGGCCTGCACGTGTGCGTGTTTCGCGCGTGTGAAAGCGGCTGTCGACAAAAGACGCAGCAACCAGGCCGTAGATGCAAGGTAACAGACATCAAAAACGTGGTCTGCCAAGGGACTATCTTGGGAGTTTCATAGCAGGTGAGGCGATGGGGGCCCTCAGGATCGCCATGACCTGTCATTGCCACCACCTTGATGGCGAGTAGATTCCCGTAGGGCATGGCCGTGAGCACCTGGCCGTAGGTGACGTTGCCAGCCTGGGCGGAGGGGGGCGGCGGGAGGTGGAAAGCAGGGGCAGGACAGGGCAGCGGCGCCACGCGAGCCAGGCAAGGATGTGTGCAGGGGGAGGCGCTACTCCCAGGGCAACACCACTGCTGATGTATTAAAAATCGTGACAGAAATGCCAGATAAAGCACATGCCAGCCCAAATAGACGCAACATGTGCAAAACTCATCCCATACCCCAAACTGCGCACCTCGATATCGGTCCTGAAGCCGCCGCCGGTGAATAGCCCCACATCCACGGGCCCGAACCTCCCCTCAAACCCCGGCAGCGCCTTGGCGCGTCTGACAAGCAGCGAGGCCATGTAGTCACCGAAATTGGTCTCCTGCTGCCGCGCCGTGTTGCCCGCCACGAGGCGCAAAGCCACTCTGCCTGCGGAGCGCGAGGAGGGGGTGCAAGGATGAACACGTTGGCGCAACCTTCGCACGGCATGGTACGCAAGCAGGCACGACAGCAAGAACTGGGCCTGCACCAGATTTCATAACGCCAGGCAGAGTAACTTGGTGATTCTGTTGAGAAAAGGCTTGACAGGCACCCAGCAGCACGGCAAGCAGTCTCCCCCAACCAACGCTCACACCACCCCACCTGTTAACGCCACCCTAGGCTAAAGCGCAACGCTTTAAGCCCTGAAATTATCTGCAGAACCTGTCGCGGCCGAGCTCCCCTCACCGGCCACTTTCCCCTCCAGCGCCTTGACGGGCCCCGCCAGCCCCCTGATCTTATGCAGAATCGAGGGGTCCTCCGCCACTGGATGGGACGAGTTTAGGCCGCCCAACAGCACAGGGGCAGCTGCCACCAGCTTCTTAGTCACCATGTCAATCTTGAGGCTGCCCAAGTATCTGGATGGCAAAAACAAGTTTAGGCCGAGCTGAGCCGTTGGCTTCTATCCATGCTTTCTCATCAGAGTATATCGAGCTGCTTGAAATGTTACGTGGATGTAGGGGCTCGAAAGCAACACGTGTTGAGATCAGTGGACGCAGGCAAGCCAGATGACCACAGCTGACCCAACGCCAGTCCAAGCAAGCCCACCCGTCAGACATCCCGGCCCCTGTAATGCCAAGCCACCCCTGGCAAGAATCCTGCTGCGCGTGTAAACGCTGGCTTGAACCCGCTCACTTTGAGGCGTAGTAGGCCTGCACCACAGGAACCTCCTTGGGGGTGCAGCGGGCCCGCCCTGGTGTTGTGGCATTGCTGCAAACCTTGGTCTTCACGATTGTGGGGAACAAGCCGGCCGAAGCGTCGCACGCACCCTTGGACACGCAGTCGGCGGCTGCTTGAGGGGGGGGGGAGTGAGGGGAAAAAGAGGTGCGGCACTGCTGTTACTGCGTGGTCAGATTCGTGGCTGCCACTCTGAAAGGTGTTGCGTTGGTGTTTACTGCCGGCCGGCATGGGTTGAACAGTTCACTCTTGATCAGGTATGTTAGGACCCCTTTGAACGAGGGGTGGCGAGTCATGTCGGGTGTCAACCGTTGATGCCATGCGAGATGCAAGATGTGAAATGCAAGATGCAAAGTTCAAGATCCTGCGCGCCTGTGGCGTTCTTGGTCAAGTCAAATATGGGCCCAGGCTTGTTGGAAGTGCTCAGGAATGTGTGGGAGTGCCCTGCATGTCATGGGTCGCGTGCGGTGGGATTTGGGGGGAGGGGTACATCAACAGGCAGAGGAGGCTTGAGGAGTGCGATTTTCCCCGATGCAGCCCTGACACGCCAACAAATGCACATGCATAAAGGACACATGAAGTGGGGGCACAGCTTGGTTGCGTAGTGTTGCACTCCTGCCGAGGTCCAAGGCAGCGCCGAGCACAGCTGCACCGGCTGACCCACCCCCAAGTATAAGGTCAAGTTCCGGCACAGCCTTGGCGGTCTGAAGGTCATAGGAGTAGCCTGGAGCACAACGCGATCAATTGAGGGTGCAGGGGGTTTGAGGGCTATGGTTGCATGCTGATGATGCAGCAAGCTTGTTGTGAATTCAAATGGAACCCCCTGCCCAGCTGATTGCTGTGCACTGCTGGCACCAACCACATCCTACAATTCAGCTGCACACGTTCTTGACATCAAGCCGAGCAAGACGCATCGTCGGGGTTGAGGGGTTACGCCCTGCACATGTATAAATGTTGCTCACCTGTGTGTGACATCCCAATAATGAGGTCGAGGTCTGTGTGAGCCCTTTTCAGATCTGCCACGCAGCGCCTGACGCTGGGGATGACGTCCCCAAACGTCACATTTCCAGAGTTGAGCTGGAGGTACTTTGTGTCGGGGGTGAGCCATCCCAGGACACCCACCTGGCGGTAGTTGGCGTGTCAACAGAGAAAAGCGCTTTGAATTGCGAGTTCGCATGGGTATTGACAATCAGCAAGACTTGTTGTTGTGGTAGTGGAGGGCTTGCACCTACCCCTCCCAGCAGGAGCATGAAGATGTGGGAACGCGGGGGAATCTGGCAACAAGTGAGGTTGCCCTACGGGTCCTGACGGGTCACACTTTGCACGGGGCTGCGGCATGACTGGGGCTGCGGCATGCCGCACCTTGAAGGCTCCCGGCTTGAACACGGCCCACTTTTTGATCAGGCCACGGAGCTCGGGCTGCGCGTTGGTGTTGACGTTGCTGCGCGGCGGGGATTGCACGGGGGCATGCATTAAGCGCTCGTGCCGCGGGGCGCGGAACTTGCCTAAGCTCTCTGAAGGAAGACCCAATCACTGTCAAAGGCAGGCTATTGGCACCCCTGCCTGCTGCCACCAGCAACCTGTGGCAGCTCGCGACCAATCACGCTCCCGCCTCCAAATCGCCCGCTGCCGCACCATGCGCCCAGCATCGGGGCTGTCAGATTTTTGATGTACGCAGCCAAGGTTGCGGCCGGGAAGGAAAACTCCTGCGGCACCAGTGGCGGGGTTTGGGGCGGGGACGGGGGGAGTGAGTTTTTACGATGATGCTGCGCGCATGGCAACAGACGCTGCCGCGGCCCAGCTGGGCTGGCGACTGTTGAAGTGGGCAGCGAGCCCAACGCAAGCGCATGTCTCCCACCCGGCGGGCTCCAGAGGATGTGGCCATGAGCGCATCAAGGGCGTGCGCATGCAGCAGGCTGGGTGCGACCAGCTGCTGCCGCTGCTGCTGCCGCCGCCGCTGCCGCTGCTGCTGCGAGGACTGCGATCACGCCTCCCAGGAGAGTATCACCACAGCTCACGTGGTTGCCGAGCGTCTGGACACGACGCCAGCAGATGAGATCATGCAGCCCGGACCAGGCGCAGGGGAGGTGGGGCAAATGGTCAGTTGGGGCCCAGCCCAACCCCTGCGCTAATCAATCGTCTACGATTGAGCCGATTCGCTCCCATCCTGCGTGCGCTCGCCAACAACACAAGGAAGCGCCGAGGAGGCACCAAGCAGCTGTAGTCCCAGCCCGTCCGCCCCGTCCCAGTCCCAGGGGTAACCTCCCCCCGCCCTCATCACCCACCCACCATGGCGTCCGGCCTGACGATGTTTTGCAGTGCCGCGGTGGCCTGGCCCCTGTACACGACATCCCATAGGGTCCCATCAAACTCGTCCCCTATGTCCTGTTGAGGGGCGGGCGGCAGGGGCGGCCGATGCCCGCGAGCAGCGACGCCTTGGGTGGTGCAGGGTGGCGGGCTTCACGGCGCTCGCTCCCAACGGCTGGCGTGTGGAAATGGAGGGCAGTTTGGTCCGACACGAGTATCTGCAGCCTGGCTAGCCTCCTCCCCCCCACCAAAAAAATGAAGGGGGGGAAGCACAGCATGGGCAAGGGGCTCAAGCGGTGCACAAAGACACCAGGAGTGGGGGTGGGGGGTGGGGGTGTGAGGCCAGCGGTGGCCCACCAGAAATAGAAAGGGTGCGCCGGCTTGCGCGGCCTCCCTCCTGGCCTCCGCGACCGCCGTGGCGACGCGCGCCCAGCCGCCAAGGCATAGGTGGCTGGCGGCCTGCGCGGCGCTGCAGGCAGCGCCGGACGTCCCTGTCTGCTCAATACGGTTGTGAAGGTCTGTAGGGAAAGGTGGGGCACGTTTTCACCGGCGCGGGTTTGGGACTACGGTATCAAGGTGGCGGCGCCAGCTGTGTGGTTGAACAATTTAGCGAGTAAGGCGGTGGGTGGAAAGCTGCGATGCGGGCTGGTGGGGTCATCACGTGCGCCCTCTGGCGCTGTGCAGTGGGATTGCATATGGATTGTGCAAGATGCATAGTTGAGAAGTTGTAGTGGTTTATGTCGGTCACGCGCCCCACACCCTGCTTTGGAGTAAGACGCTGCCCGTTCTCGCCAGTGTCAGTGGCGCGTCTTTGCTGGGGCCCTGGGCGCGCTGTGGTGCGGACGCACCATTGATGTGCGCAATGTGAAGGACTCTCACAGGTATCTGCTCTCTAGACCCAGGCTGTGCTGAGGGTATCATCCTCGAGACGGCCGCGGGCGTCGCAGCAAGGAGCGCGAGCAGCAGAGCGACGGGCCGTGCTTGCGGTAGTGTGCCCTGAAGCCTTGCGCCGCACGACGCCCGCATAGTCAAGAATCTTGTGTAGCACTGGCTCTACTATTTGAGTAATATAGTGGCTGTCTTACATACCATAGCCGTGGCTCCTGACAGTACAATACCGTAGATCGTATGGCGAGGAAGGGGGCGGAGGTTCAAGCTGCACATACGTATACACGATTGTATTATCATTATGAGATTTTCACGGCGCTGAAACATCGTATCATGCTTGTATGCGGGGGCAAATAGTGTGACTGCACATTACTAATGTGGCGGAGGATGACCATGTGAGCAGCGTGAAGCGCCTATGTTGACTTTTGGCGCAGCCCGCCGACTGCCTCCGGCACGGCTTGCTTCTGGCGGCACACAGTGTGGTGTGGTGGGGTCGTCCTTCAATGGATGTGAGATGCACTTGTACTCACATGTCGGCTCTACAGCAAAAGGTCACTCTCACGCAAATCATGCATGTCTGCTGGTGCCGATGCCAGGGATCCGGCATGCGCCTGCCGTTGCAGGAAATATGGAAAGGAGCAAACCCCCAAAAGCAAAACTCTCGTGAGCATGGGGTTGACGGGGTGCATGCAAGCAAGCGGCTGAGTGCGATGGGTTTGCCAGGCACGCGCCAGGGCGCGGCTGCTGCCTTACAAATGCATGTGCTGAGGTGGCGCAGGAAGGAAACCCAAGGGGATGACACGAAAGCATTGTTGGCAGGTGTGCAGTGGATGCCGTCGGCATCATTTGATGCTACCCCAGATTGTTTGACTTTGAATGGCGGCCCGAGCCAAGGGGCGCTGCACTCCAAGGGTGGCCTCGGTCGCTGATGCGATTTCGGCCCCGAAAACATTTGCTTGCCATCGCTGCGTTGATTGATTATTGAGTCCCCGCACCCGTGCGCCTTGCGGATGTCCTTGGCCCCAAGCGGCTCGGCCGGCTGGCTGCGCCAGCTGTGCCCTCGCCGCCCCACCGCCCTCTCACTCCCCCACTCCCAGCAGCGCTGAGTATGCGTTGACCAGGCGCGCCGCGGCGGCCTCGTCGCGCCTGCGTTTTTTTTCTTGTATCTTCCGGTATAGGTACTCTCCCCTGCTCAGCGACGGCCCTGCGTACTTCTCGGC